GCCATAAGGGTGTTTTCAATTGGTAATTCTTAGTGGTTTCACACAGTGCAATACCATAAAACCATAAGAATATATGTCCAGCTTAATTCTTTAAAAACCATTTTAAAATTATCAATTTAATCCCATTCTTATAATTATAACCAAGATTTGTATTACTTATGTTTTTTTTAACATTCCAAAAATATTTTAATGACTTCTGGTTATTTTTTATTTATATTATATATTTATACTTTGTCAGAATACTTGTGTTATTTAAAACACTGTAGACTGAGAGTAGAAAAGCATTAATACTTGTATAAATAACAAACTACTTTAAGCCTTTTTAGTTTTGCAGCCCTTGAGAGTTAAAGACACCTTAAAGTTGTAGTTTCTTGACACCATTGCCTTTAGTTCTTTTAAGGAACTGCAATTTTTGCAAAATACAAGTGAATTCCCAGCGCCCAAATTTTTTCTAATAAATTTTATTTTGTTTTCTTTTATAAAACCACTGACATTTACCCTTTTTGCTAACATTTGGCAAAACTTTCGCCACTTTTTGCAGGGTAGAAAAGTTTCGTTGCCCAAAACATTTTCCCCAAGAGTTCCATCGTGTGCCTGCGATTTGTTTTTGTTTTGTTCTGCAGATGCTTTGGTTGAAAATAACTTCGAATCGCGCAGAGACCACAGAAAGAGACGGAGCGAACGGAGGAAAAGAGACGGAGACAGGGAACGCGGGCGGTTTATTTATTTTTATAGCTTGGACTCTGAGGCAAAACGGACACGTGGAACCCGCCGACGAAATGGCGAATGGAAATGGCATACAAATGGGCAGCAGATAAGCTGGATACGTCATAGTTTCTTGGCAACACTGAGGGAAAGCGTTTGTTGGAAATCTAAACTTAATTTCATAATATAAGATAAGCATATGGAAAACACCCAGCGTATGTACAAATATGTACAACATTTGTTAATCACAAAATGCAACAAATTCATATTTTGTATGGCATACATGTCGTATGCTCATTTTTTTCCAACTTCAAAGTCAACAAAAAAACGTATACGACATGTAAGCCATTTTTTCCAACTTGAAAGTTAACAAAAAAACGTATACGACATGTGAGCCATTTTATTTTTTTGTTTGTTGTGTTAAATAGTTAAAATAAAATTTAGCAATTTATAAAAAATAATGATTTTATTACTATAAATGTAGTTATTACAAATTTTCATATCTTCTCCGTTACGACTAGTAAATTTCATAAACCTTTGACCCTATTTATTCTTAAATATATTAGGCTTTGAACTTGGTTTGAAATCACACAAAAAATATTTTTCATAAGGTGTACCATTATCATTTCTTGTTTTAAAGAAAAAATTTCAGCTAGGAGTGCCATTCTATTGAATATTTTATAACGAATCTAACGAGGTATGGCATTCCGACATTCGACCACTTTTTCCCAGGTTTTTGATTAAAAGACCGAAAAAACGAGCTGATTTTTCCGGATTTTTGTCCGAATAAGTAGATTTAAGTAGAGTTTAATATATCGTTTATTTAAATTGTGAATTAAATGGAAGTCCCCTTACAAAATATCTTTAAGTTTAATTTCAGTTTTTAACTATCTGAGCGTGTTAAAACTTATACGAAACTGGTCTAGGCTTCAATTGAAGTCCTCACATTTGCAAAAAATACTATATATTGCGAGGAGCGGCAGCTACACATCAATCGAGTACGAGTATCTCACTCTTAATTAATTCAATTAAACGAAATGACTTCAAAAGATAAAAGAAACAGAAAACAGAAATAAACGATATATTTACCTCTAATATATCGTTTATTTCTGTTGTGAATTGAAGGGTAGTCCCCTTACAAAACATCCCTAAATTGTATTTAAGTTTTAAACTATCTGAGCCTGTTGAAACTTATAAGAAACTGTACACGGCATCATTTAAAATCCGCACACTTGCAAAAAAAAAGTATATTTCGAAGAGGGGCAACTACACATCAATCGAGTATCTCACTCTTCATTAACTCAATTAAACTTTGACCTATTTCCAATTGTTATGCCCACCATTGCCCTCACTACCGTTTTTTTTTTCGAGTGTAGTCTTACCAGAATGGGGCGCTCGTTGGCGTAGGACAGCTTGCGTGTGTTGCGCAGCGTTTCCAGCCAAAGGGAGTTCCTGCGGGCGGCACTCGTGGCGCCACCGACGCTGCCCGTTCGCGTCATCAGAGCGGTGGCCGCGTTCACCGGTTGTGACATTTGTCGCATCTGCGGCGGCATCTGTGACGACGTCATCATCACCGTCAGCGACGGTGACCGCGAGGGGGTGGGGGAGGGAGTGGCCGAGGGGGAGGGCGAGGGTGTGGATGACGTCGACACGACCACGGGCGTGGGCGTGGGCGTGGACTGGGGAGGCGTGGCTTGGCATTTCTGGTAGAGAGCGCCCTGATTACAATCGTTATCCATGCAGGAGGCCGGCGACATGCTCTGCTCCTCCAGGTGTTTTCTTTTCTTTTTTCTCAGATCCTCGAAGATCCCAGAAGCTATTTTCGATTTACAAAATAGCCTATAACCTTTTAAGGATCCGAAATGTTTAGGTTTTACTTTTTACTTGTCATGTTTTGCCTTGGAAATATATTTTTATTCTTTTAGGATCATTAGACTTGCCAAAAGTTATAATAGAGATCCAAGATCATCAGATCGCCATTAAATTCCAGAGCTGGAACTTTTTTAGATCCAAAAATATCCCGAGAATAGAACGTTTTCTTTGTTAACTCACTGGTTTTGTTTTCTTAATTGAAAACAATTGTTTTTGTTTTGAGGAAAATTACAAGTACATACAAACATGTTGCCTTAATTATTATTAAAAGATTTTCAAGGAAACGAGTACATTGTTTATTTTAATTTGCAATTCTCAGATCTTGCCGGTTACAGGCTAAAACCGCATTGTTTGAACAATGATTTATATGTTTTCTCCCTGGAATTGATTATATGTAAAAATTTCCTTAGTACACTTCATTTTTGGAAAGCAAATGCACATTGTCAACACAAACGCACACAGACAAAAAAAATCGGATTTCTTTACAATATAATCGACGAACCGCAACAGACGAATAACCGATCACTTTTGATTTGAATTTAATTTAATGTGGGGATTATTTCTGGGCAACAGTATTTCGGCTTTCGACTGCGTAATTGTCCAGAATGTAAACAGATTGGGGAAGCAGACACAATTCAGCATTTCCACAAGCCGTTCACGTCCATTATTGACCGATCCGATCTGCAAGCGATCTGAAAAATGAGCGACAAAGAGCGAGGTCCCGAGATCGGGATCGAGATCTAGATCGAGAGCGATCCCTTCCGACGACGCCGCACAAATGGGCTGCCCACCAAAAGTTTTATTTATATTCCAATCTGGTGCGCTCCTGCCTTTTTTTTTCTATTTGGTTCCGCCAATCTAGCGGAACCAAGAAGAACATAAGGGTACTTAAATATGGACTTTGAGATACTCTGTAGTGAGAGCGAATTATTTCTGTTAAGCCTATTAAATCAATAAAGATAAATCAATTATGGCTATAACTGTCTACTCCTAACAATCCATTTCTTTTTTTTTTAAGTTTTTAATATCTTTGGGATTATGGATCTTTTAAGGAATTATACATCTTTGTGATGGTGAAAAATGCAGAAATATATGAATGCCCCAAATTTTGTGAATTTCGAAGCCTATAATCCGAATCCAATATTTAGACACACAATATACCCCTTTCCATTGTTAGTACCGTTTATAAAGAACAACTTCTTCGATCAGCACGTTTGCTTGGATCGTGTGGAACGGATCGCATTTGGAAGGTGGAATCCAAGTGGACGAAAAGCAGCAGGTGGATTGGCCAAATGAGAGCAACTATTTTAGAGAGCGATGAGAGAAACATCCTCTGGGGAAAAACGGTAAAAGGTGAGGGACGGGAAACACCTGATCGCGTCGACGTCATGGAAATTAAAATGTTGCAGCTTTTACAAAGGGAAACTTTAAATGCTTCCGCTCAGCACTTAATTGCTGCCCTCTCAAAAAAGACAAATGCTAGACTCTACGAATACCCTGGATAATTTATAAGTTCAAATATAACCATTCTTTTATCATTAGATATAATACCAAGTATGCTTTCTATGACTATTTTCTATATATTAAATATGGGAAGAACCGCTATTAAATTTAAATTATTAGTAGAAACATTTCTTTATTATAAATAGGCATTTTTCCCACAGTGTAGAAATATAGTAAATATTATATATATGTCAAATATTTTTTTGAAAAAAGCCATATATTTGTAAGCTTTTATAAAATATATATCTCCCCCAAAAGCTTGTTTAAAAACTAGTCGGTAATCGGTGCATTATGTTCTCATCACAAATAACGACAGTCAGTGCCAAGAAAAACGAAACATTTTTAGCTACATCTTACCTGCGGCGAGAAATCATCGATAAATGTTATTCGTAATCTAACTAGGGGTTACATTAACTACGGATCTAAATTCAAAAAGGGATGCAAAAGCAAACAGGACGCTGAAGCGAATTTGGAAGTAGATGCGAGATTATGGGATGCGGAAGTCCAAACTGGAGCTACAAAGCGGTCAAAATGCTCAAAAAGGTTTTAAAACTGGTAATTTTGAGTTTTTTTTTGTTCTTCTTTTTGTAGTGAGATTTTAAGGGGAGATTGAATATGGACATTGACGCAGTGCAGACTAGGAAGGAACGAATGCCAAACGCAAACCAATTGCACAGGGGCCTTTTTGCATTTCGCAGCAAAATGCATTATGTTATCGATAACAAGCTACTTGACCGCTGGGAGGCGGGAAGGTCATTGCGGTGCCATTGGAAATGAACTTTGGTTTTTTTTTTGGTTTTGTGTAACTTTGGAACTACTTTGGTTCATTCTAAATATTTATGTACACATTAAATAAAATAGTTAGTTTCGGCAAATGGGGTTTGTTTTGTGGTTTTTGCATTGTTTTATTTGTTAAATACCATTTTGGAGCATTGGAGCGTTTCGTTAGTGGCCTCGGTGAAGGCCCTTCGAAGGCGCAACTTTCGGCTTTCGGACAAGGTGCGAGGCATTAGAAGAACGCCCTGAAGAGATTGCGAGAGTTGATGCGACAGTGATTAGTACAGATTTGTAAAGTTATTTTAGTTAGTTGCTAAGCTACTTTCGGGTCGGGGCTTCTAAAAGGTTTGTTCTGGTTTTCTGGGCGAAGGAAGCGGTTTAAATACCTAGCAGTCAGACAAAGATCGGCGTAGAGTCTTACGAGTACAGTGCGTTGCGGAAGTGGCAGGAATCAGCTGGGTTTTGTTTTGATTAATTGTACTTCGGAAACCCAATTTCATTAATTTATTAACTTGATTTCTCTATAATTTATAACCTTAAGCCAGTGTCTGCAAAGCAGTTCTGTTAATAAAAATAAGTTGTATTGGAAGCTTTTTAAAATATGATTTTAAGACATTTTATAATTTAACAGATAGACCCATTTAAAAATTAAGGTATTTGCATTACAAACTCTTTAATTTATTTTATATTAATTTAAGGAAAAATGTTGTACTCTCCTTTCCCTTACAAAACGCACTGTCCATAAATAATAGCATAGGCATGAATTTAAGAGTAAGATTTAAAAATACAGTCGAAGTAACTACATGGATATTATAGATAGGAACTTAAGCTGATAGTATTACATACTAAAGGGTAATCGATTACAAAGATGTCATATATATGGTAAGGATAGTTAGATAACTAGTAATTAATTAGGAGATGTAATGCCGGGGTATCTAGACGTATAATCCTGCAGCCAAATGTTTACTATGCGATTGAAGTGATATGCGCAAAATTGTCATATATGGTAGGGATATGATAGACATGATAAGTAATGACGGGCTTTCTCGACACGTGTGATCCTGTGGGATTGCCAGGGTGTATTATATGGTGTAGTGTGTGAAATGGAATGGGATGAAAAGTTCACTGCATGTTGCATAATTAAATAGAGAGCTTTTAAACAATAAAAACAACATAGGTCAACGAAAATGGAAAGCGGAAAACCGAAGACAATTGAAAACTTGAAATACGTTGAAGCTTTACCCACTTAACCCCATGCAGGAAAAGCTCCCAAAAGCTCTTTTGAAAGCGAGGGGGTTAAGTGTAAAAAGGTGACCGCAGGGGAATTGCATATACAAATTGTTTGTTTTCTTTTTTATTCGTGTTAAATGTGGCTTGAAAGCTCTTGGCCCATTTGCATGGGGAGCCGTTTAATGTGGAGGCTTTACTTTACCCCAAACCATCTCATTCCCCATTACTTTGCTATCTTTACCGCTAGTTTTTTGAAAACGTAAAGCTTTTGTTGTGCCCCGAAGCTTCCATAAATGTTTTACCGTCCCCATTCCATTCTCATTTTGGCCGGCTTCTTGTCCTTATCCCCTGACTATTGCCCAAAAGTGTCTGACAGAGAACCCAACGCAATTATCTATAAAGACTGAAAAAAAACCCAAAAAAAAAAGACGACAAATGTGGGGGGGGTTTTGGAAGAGAAAATAGGAAAAACGCGACGGCAAATGTCAAAGAGTGAAAACATTCATCAATCATGGTAAGGTCACTGCCAGCATGAAGAAGGAAGCGATATCATTTTTTTCCCATCTATATTTATATATTATTTCTTTCTTATTTTTTTTTCTTTTTCGAGATATTTATGGACGACAAAAGTTCAGACACGTTGGGCGCAAATTGATATTAATTATAAAGGAGAGATGAGAGATATAGATAGAACGACTAGGAATTGTATTTGCTGTAGCACTTAACAATTCTATTGCCACATGAATAATCAATTTTTAGACTGCAGGAAAGAAATGTCTTAATTGCGTTTGTTGGATTTTCATCATTAAATGGTAAAATGGTAAATGGTAAATGCTCTTAGGCCCACCTACTAAGATTCCCATTTCCATTTTCCATTTCCATTCCCCCCGATCAAATGGCGTGTAAACAAAATTTTTAATTATGCCCACCGAAAGTAATGCGAAAGGAAGACTGAGGAAAAGAAATATAAATACATGGAGGCAACGAAATGCGATTGAAGGTGGCCAAGCGGGCAAATGAACAAAATAATTGTTGAGCCAACGCCGCGTATGAGCAATATTGATTTTCACTAATTGGATTTTAGCGCGCGAAAAACGTTAAATGGCCAAATGTAGGAGGCGGCGGAGATTGGTTGAGAAGAAATAAATTCAACGAAAACAAACCAAAAGAAAAACAGCAACAATATAAGCAAATCACAAATTGCCAGCGTTTTATGATTATTAGAAAACATCTATAGCATAAATAAAGAAATTCGAACTGAACATAAAAAACATCTTGGAGGGATTTTTTTGTGTGTTTATGAAGATGAGTTATGGGCAGTGATTTTGGCGGTGAGATTTCCACATGAGAAAGTTTAATAACTAGGAATAGTACAGCGATTTTTTGATGCTTTCTTTAAGTGGGGCCATTATTCTAGATTTTATATGTATGAGTAATAAAAATTGAGGAGTCTATCTTACACACAAGGTTTTAAGTAAGCTTAAAAATACCATTTATAATAAACCCCATAATCCATAATATATAATATAATAATAATATATAATGTTAGGAAATTCATCTTTTTAGCATTCCGATCTGGTTACTTAAAATTTCCTATCTGCTTAAACTTTTGTAATACATAACCTTTTTTGGGGCTGGCCAGTGCAACAATTTAAGCTTATACCACAATCTGGTCCCACTGAACTTGAATATCCTTTAACACGCGTATGTATTTAGAATAATGAAAGATCTGGGAATTCTTTGTATGAACACAGAACATCGAGTGCGATAGTGGCTACAAAACATCCAATTTACGGGTATATACTTATGTATAGAGAAGGGATTTGCTGAGTTGATATACTATATATGATACATAGAGGTCTGTGTACACACCGAGCGCTAAGGGTACTCCTGGGTGGCGTCCACTCGGACATTTATGAGCTGGGCGATTGCTGATGTCTTATGTACATGAATTATGTACAGGGGGGTCATGGTATAGAATCACTCGGAAAAACGAAGTCTTTCAAATTGGAAAAGTGCCTTCGGTTTTTGGTAAAGGAATAAAGCTGTTTGTATTTGATTAAATAGTTATAAAATAATTATTTTTTACATTCAGTAGAGGAAAATATGAACAAGGCCACCCTTTTGAAGGTTTAACATAGCTGGTCACTCTAAAATAAAACATTTCTATAACTTTAAATTTTTTAGAATTTTAAATTTATATATGAATGTATTTTGCTAAATATTTCTAAATTTATTGTAAATTAGTCTTGATAGCCAATTATAAGCATTTTGGCATCCTCAAATCAAAACAAATTATTTTTTAAATGAAGTACTAAAAGGCTTCTTTTCCTCAGTGATTTGCTGATTTTCTCCGAGTGTGGGTGGCTAAGTTTGCCTCCCCCTCACGACAAAGCAAGAGGGGAGGAGGTCGGGTGAACTGGGCAGGTGGGGTTTTAATTTTTTTATTTCACGTTTACCAACTGATTCTCACCTGCTTGAAGGGCCGCATTCCCCCATTGATCCGCAGGGAATCGGCTGCAATCCCAGCGATTCCATCGCCGGAACTTTCGCGCAATTGCTTCAGCGATACATTTGGAACCGTATGCGAGTGGGAGTGGGCGTGGCCGACGCAGGCGGAATGCGGTCCGCAGCAAATCGCCGTACTGCTCGATTCCGGTTGTGAACTCTGCCGTATTATCCGTGATCCATTCGTGGGCGATGAGGTGATGAGAACGGGCGGCACTTGCTGCTGCTGCTGCTGCTGCAGCTGTTGCTGCTGTGCCAGATGTTGCTGCTGCAGCTGATAGTGTTGCTGCTGTTGCAGGTGGTACTGCTGCTGCTGCTGTTGCGGCAGGGCCGAATTCGATATGCAAATGGCCATGGAGCCGCTGAGATTGCCCTGCTGGAAGGCACTTTTCACACTGTCGCGTGAGGCGGAGCGATCGATCAGCGTGGTGGGCGTGGTGGAAGCACGTCGGCTGCAGTTGCGGCACGCCCTGCAGCGACTTGGCACGCTGGGCGGTATGCTCGAGGCCAGGTTCTGATATGATGAGGTGCCCAAATTGGGGTGGCTCACACCCGGACTGGAGCTGTGGCTATGGCTGTCGCCGGGCTTTAGGCTTAAATTCATAATTGATATGGTCGGTTGTGTCTGTTGCTGGTTACTACTTGTTCCCTGGCTGTGGCTATCTTGGTCCTCTTCGTGTACTTCGATGTCAGGCACTATGCTGCTGCGGACCAGGCCCTGCTCCACGTCCTCGTCGTGGCCAGTTCCTCCTCCCCGCATGCTCTCCTCGGAGCCCATTCTCGCATGCTGCGACTGCTGGGGACTGGTCAGGTAGGTGGAAGTGCGATCCTGCCGCATCAGCGTCGGCTTGGAAGCCCCAGCACCAGCTGCGGAGTTCGAGCCCGTCGATGCGGATCCTCCCCCGCCCCCGCCCGATCCCGATCCCGATGAGGATGTGGAGGCCCCAGTCGTTGGGCCATTTGTGGAGCTACTCTTCACCTGGCGGAGCAGGGCCGTCCGACCACCTCCCTTCGAGGGATTCGAACTGCTCACCAGCAGCGAGTCCGTCTCCTCGGAACTTACGTAGCCCGAGTTGGTGGTGTCGTTTAGCTTCTGAATTGACATCTGTAATGGAAAGCAATCAAAAGAGTTTTAATTTAACACCGCACAAAAACAGACAATAAATTAGTGTGCCACAAGGCAAATAACAACCAATTAATAAAATCAGCTTTTGACTATTGTGAACAATCCTTATTTATAATCTTGCTTAAAGCTTAGCTTAAATTTTGAGTGTCGTTTATTATGTCGTTTAGCATTTGATGGGCAAACAATAATCAAAATTAAGCTTAAATATAACACAAATACAAATAAAACACAATACAGATATTAAGCAATACAATTGTTTGAAATATAAATAAGCCAATAATTTACACATGTAAGCACTTACAATATTTTTGTACATTATTTAAAAATATTTGTAATTATTTTGAAGCATAAGCAAAAGGAATTACGAGCTATAGTAATAGTTAAGCGACCGGTCAAATAACAAAACAAATTAGGTAAATTAGTGTGTAATATGGAAATGTCATTCAAATTTTGCAATCAAAATGTTGAAATTTTTTTTTTAAATTTGCATGTATAAATCTTGTCAAATTTAGCTTTGCCAAATTTGTCAGCAATAAAAAACATTCCTGAAACTGATTTCTGCTTTCAATGCCTTTAAATCAAACCAAACACAAATATCAATAAACATTTAAATATGGCTATTGCGACTTTACACAAGATTGCCTCAGGTTTTGTTAGTTTGTAGTTGGTAGTTTTTGCATTTGCTTAGCAATTATTCAAATAAATATAAATAAGTTAGGTTATATTATGTATTTATAAATTGCATATCCTGTTAAGTGGAAACTCTTCGTATGAACAATATGACCAACACTGCGTATGTGTGTTAAATTTATGAATATTTAACCGAAAAAATTCTCCTAAAAAAGAGAAATCAAACTATATGAACAGAATTTATGCCAAGGTAAAAGAAATCACAAGTCATAAAGTCGAAAACAAATCGCCAAATCAGGGCATGTGAAGTGAGTGCGAGAAAAAGACAAAGGAACGGCTTAAAATTCCATAAAGAAAATGGAAAATGAAATGAAAGACGGGTTCGAAAGCTGTGGCCAAGCTTTCCGGGAAAACTATTTGCCAGAAGTTGGACGTTGGTAACAAAGAACTGATAAGCCACAAAAGCTTCAAAGCCAGCGCACACATATGTGCCAGGAAAAAGCGGGAAATGCGGGAAAGCTTGTTGACCGCAAGTCACCTATGCGAAAAACAAAAGGGAAGGGACAAGGAAAACCTTTACAAAAAATTCAAACAAATCTCAAAAATGTAATCAATAATTCAGCTATAAAAACAAACGAGAATTGTAAAGTATGGAGGCACAGGTATGCCGAGGTTTGTTGGTTAATATAGGAAATGCATAAAGAAAAAATATTTAAACACTTAACGAGTAAATCAAATTTTAAATAAAACAATTTCCATTTAAATATTGTCATTTATAATTGATGGTAATAAACATTATTTCATTAAATTTAAACCTAAAATATAATAAATACAATATAAATGGCAACCCCTTAAAGTCTATAAAAGTTTTAAAAATGTTTAGGTATAAATTTTAACTTTGTAAAATATTTTTGGTGTTCTGAAACTATTTTAAAAGTGTCTTTATTTATTTGCTTATATTTTTTCTAAAAAACAACTTTTTTTAAATTTCTAATAAAAATTCTGTGGTTACGAATTTTTTTACAGTGTGAGAAAAGGACAAAAGGACATTTCAGCGAGCTGGACGAAAAATGTGAAAATTTGAACACCTGCAGAGCAATGAGTTCTTCTGGATGGACTGGCTGGCATAACTATACATATCGCCAACATTATATGGCCCCCATGTGCAAGCACATACTGTACACACAATATATATGAATCCATTATACGTTTGCATGTCGAGCGTGCCGCTAATAATAGTTGGGGGCCCCACAGCCCATAGACCATAGACCATGTCAGAAGAGTCCGTGCCAGGCAGAATGCGGCAGATATAGATACGGATGAAGACAGGGGCGTGGACAGGAGTTCATCGAGGGGAAGGTGTTCTAAGATCCCCAAAGGGGGTTTAAAAAAAATTCTATTCATTTCTTTTCGGTACATATTGCATTTGTATTAATTACCTTCTTAACAGAGTTATTTTCTATTGCTAGAAAATAAAAATAAAAACTAAAATAAATATTAATGTTTTATAAACAATTGTATATGATAATTGTTGAGAATGTACTATAAACATAACTTATAATATATGTCCAATTATAATAGATATTTACGTTGTTTAAATTATGATATTAAAACGCGATATATTTTCTATTTTTTCAACAATATTATTCTGTACAATTTATGATTTTAACCCCCCTCGTACGCCACTGGGCAAAGATACGTCCCAAAATTCAAAGGGACGGACGGAGAATGGGACATGGTTTCTTGCTCCAAATTGGGTTAAAAAATTCATTTTCTCTCGACGGCAAATGCAATCGCATTTTGGGGCCGAAAATGAATTCAATTGTTTATGAGCCACCCTTGATGGGATATTCTATAAATATCGTTCGTTTTGCTATTGATTGATTTGTCAGTCACTTTGGTATAAACAAAAAATTGAGAAAGCCACAACCAATAAGGCTGAATCATCAGAAAGTTTCATTCATAGATGAATCTGGAATAATTGATAAACATCTCGTCTTTCGATGCGCCACGCTTTAATTCGATTTCATTCGATGAGTAGAACTGATGAAATTTTAATCGCACCATTAAAATGATTGCTTTATCGCACACAGGCACGTACAGTGCGACTCAGCTGTGTAATTCATTTGGATTGCCTGTCGATAATCGCCTCATAAATATTTTGTAATTTGTACACTGATTTCATCAGATTATGAGCTAGTTTACTGATGAGTTCTGTTATTTACTAGTGCAGAAGAAACTTCTTGAAAATAAGGAATTATGTTTTTTATTCGCAGTTTTTATTGCAATATATTATTCAAATTTGCAAGCCAAAAGCAAATGCTTTTTTGCCAAGTACATAATCTCGTAACTAGTTCCAATTACCATTTCTGCCTTATATAAAGACGAATCAATACGTGTCCTTTATCCCTTCATATTCAATGGCCACCATAAGCTCACCTACTTAAATTGATAATTTACTTTTCTCCTGTTCAATGGCCAATCAAATTCGATTGCTTAGCACAACAAATCACGGTAATCCCATGTTACACACTCGACAACAACACGGGGCATTAAGCCATCAATCGCCTTACAACCGGGGGACGCACTGTATCGACCCCTTAAATCCTATTCAGCATGCACCGATGGAACGGCAAAGGGACAGAAAAAATAAAAAATAAAAAAAATCAAGACGAGGGCCGCGTGTGAATGTCCTCGTCGATGGTCAGAGGACGAACCTCAGCTCCGAATGGGCATTGAATAAGTTAAACGGGTGTGTATATAGTATACATGCAGGTCGGGGAGCCCCAGGTGACCCAAATGTCATTCAGCACTCAGCGCTAAAACATGGCCCGCAACGCAGCTTGGCCAATAACAATAAAGCCAAGGAGACAGGAGACAGGAGACAGGAGCACAGGACCTCGAACCACAATCGAGTAGTGCTGTCGTTTCGGCTTTTATTCCATCAATTGCTTGTTATTCCGTAATTAAGTGCCTATTGTTGGCATCATTCACTTTGGTTACATGGTGGTTACGTCTGCGAGATGTTGACATTTTAAATTGTATACGTTGTGACCTCTTTGTCCAATGAACAATTAAAACAGGGATGTGCATATATCAGTAAGATAAATTATGTGATTGTTGCAAATCACAATCAAAAGCACATGTAAGTAAATATAACAATGCTTGGCTACATATATCTATCGCAATCAATAAATAAAAAATAAATAAATAAAAAAATAAAAAACATTTTAATATGAAAAAATAATGATCCTATCATGGAATTATTCATCATAATTAATGATTATTTTATTTTTATGATTTTGTTACTATAATATTAAAGAAAATCTCTATGTCATATGATTTTACCATTTTTACATTAAATACCAATACAATAAAGGTCGATATTTTTAACATAAAGCAAATACAAAATTCTTTAAAAAAGAGTCAAAGTAAAATACAAATATTCAAATCGGAAAATGCGACCCAATATTGTATTCAGTTAACCTCTTTCTTAAGACAGAAAAGACAGCCCCGTCAACACTGAAACGAAGGCAAAATACAAATAAGTTGGAGCGAGGCAGACAGGAAAATTCTATTGTGTAATGGCCGCTTCAGGTTTTCTGGTTTTCAGGCTGTGGCCATTGAGACCTGACAGCGTTGTTTAATGGCCAACGGGCGTTGGAAACCCTTCAATCCGCAGGCTTCACCTCCAGGTGCAGGTCCTGGTCGTGGCTACCAGTTCCCAGTTCCCTGTTACCAGTCACCGGTCGCATGTAGAGATAAAAATTTATTGCACAACTCAAAATCAGAGGCAGGGTGCCGAGTGCCGAGTCCTTTGGCATTTTGTGTCGAAACAGAATACATAAACAGAATACATAAATTTCATTCGCACAGCACAGTACACAATAAAAAAGAGGAAAATCGTTAACTTGGCCCTGTTTTATCCTGTGCCAGGAGTCCGCCACAAAACATTATGCCCCCCAATTCCCCCCCTGAAAAAAACTCACCTCAACAACAACGACCTCGTTGCATTTCGTCAAAAGCTATGCTGGCACATTTTTTGTTGTTGTTTTTTGGATGAAAACGAGGAACGAAAAACGAGTGGTAAAAATGAAGGAGAAAAAAGGATGCCACAGGCTGGCTAAAGTTGAGGGGTCACCCTCTAATTGCACGGAAACCCTGGGATTACAAAACCCGACCTGATAGCTCTCTCTGGGAATCTGTGTGCTTACCGTCTCTAAACTGGCTTCTAATCTCAGTTTGGCTCTTAACTTTGACTTTTGACAGTTTTAACACGGTCAAATGTCTCAGTTTCAGTTGAACACCGAGCCAAAGGCGCATTCTTGGAGAGGATTTTAAAAATCTGC